GGCAGGAAAGGAGGGAGGGAGGGAGAGGGAGAGAGAGGGAGGGAGAGGGAGGGATCACAGGCATGAATGCATGCATTTAGAAACTTGTAGCAACTTGATACTGCTGCAGCTCCAGCTCAACACCTTGTCAAACACTAGAAATGCTGTTGTCAAACTGGCTTGCAGAGCTGTGTGTGGGGCAAGCTGCTGTGCTAGACTGCATAGAACCATTCCAGCTTGATTGGATTCAGGGAGAAAGCTAACAAAAAGTGAGTGGTCCTTTACCCTACAGGGTTTGAGAAGCACTGGTCTAACTAGTGTCTGCTGCCTTCTGGCTCCAGTGATCTGTGTCAAAAAGAGGATAGTGATTGTAAAATGCACTGTTGTATGGCCATTCCATTTATTGTCCTTATTTCCATCCAGCCATGATTAAAAATGAGTAATGATTGCCATTTTGCAAGTGCTTACGATGTGCTAATCTAGGTATATAGGTAAAAATCTAGTTTTTTCCCATACAACAATGTATGTTTTAGGTGCCATTATTTTTCCCATTAGAGAGATGAACAACCAGGTCACGAGATCATAACTAGTAACTGGGAGTGCGAGGATACATCCCACAGTCCAATGATAGACTCATGTCACTACCATTTTGTTAGTCTGCTGCTTTTTTTTGTTGGTAATTGGAAGGTGTATGTATTTGCTTTCACAGATTGGGTGGGGACGGGGAATGTTTTTTAAAAGATAGTAGTGGGGACTCAAGTTTCAGGGAAATTGTTTGACATCAGAACTTTTCCTCCTTCCTTTCTCCCTCCCTCCCTCCCTCCCTTATTTTCTTTATCTCCATCCTGCTGTCCTTCCTCTGCCTTGGTTCTTGCTCCTGCTGCCTGTTGACAAATACCTGGAAAACCAACTTTGGGAATTGAAACCCAGACCTCAGAAATGGCACTCTTTGGCTTTATGTGGTGCCTTTTTATAATAATTGCATGGTCACCATGCTAGTCATCTGAAGCCCAGAAGGAAGACATTGTACTTCCCCATTTCGTGGACATCAAAATAAGTCACAATGATGCTCAGTAAATTACCTCACTTTTTTGACACCATTTGTCCAGAGTGCTACATGCAGCAGGGACATATTATATGTTTGTTGTACTGACATCACATGTCCTCCATGGTGACCCCCCCACCAGTGTGACAGAAAGCAGGGGCAGAAGGAGACTCCACTCACGGAAAGCAGGCTGGGACGAAGACCATTGGCATTGGCGCACTGCATGTGGCTGGGACATCATCTCTTCTGCTCCTCTTGCCACAGGCAGTCAGCCCTCTATCCCACCTGACGTGAGGGTCACCATGGTGGGAAGCTAGCCAGGTGCACAGCTGCCCACCGTTTCTAGCAGCATGACCCACTGGCAGATTTCTAGCTGTCCCTGTGGCATTGGGAACGTGGTGCTAGCTGTTGAGCCCATGCCTTAACCTCATGGAAAGGAATGTCATAGAATACAGAATACTGTTTTTCCAACTGGTACCAGGGATCGAACTCGGGTCCTTTCACCTTCAAGGCAGGTGGTAGAACCACTGAGCTAAATCCCTGGCGAATACTGTTTTTGTATTTACAATTTTTTCTGTTAACAGTCTAGTCTCAAATACAAAAATAGGAGTGATTTCATAAAAAGACATACTACATGTTGTTGCTTATATGTAGGATCTAACCAAGTTGATGTAATAGAAACAGTAGAATGGTGGTTTCAGGGGATGGGGAAATTTGGAGATGTTGGTTACGGTACAGATTTTTAGTTATAAAGTGAATGTATTCTGTGGCTCTAGTGTACAACATAGGAGGTAATGGTATTAATTTTAATATGATAATCATTATATAATGTATATCAGCTCATACATCTTGAATGTATGCAATCATTATTTTTCAATTAAAAAATTTTTTTTGATACCAGGGATCAAATTTAGGACCTTACACTTGTGAGTCAGGTATAGCACTACTGAGCTAAATCCCCAGCCCTTAAATATTTTTTAAAAGCTAGGAGTTACTTTTCCTGGCTAGGAAGGGGAGGAGAGTCACAAGCCCTAGCCAAGCTAAAGATTATGAATAATAGGCAGAATCAAATCTTAACCTTGTCCTAGCTTGCTGGCTGCGGGGAGTTCAGACCTTCCCCGGAGCGTCTCAGGCAGAGGAACAGGTGATCTGGGCTCCTGTGTCTGCCCAGCCTAGCTGCGGACGCACCTCTCCTCCTGCTCTGGCTACTGTGGGAGACTTCTCTTTCAGTGCCGATTTCCTCCTCCCAGGGCTTGTCGTCTTGGCTGCAGGGACTCTTACAGGATCGGAAGGGTTTCTTTCCAGACAGTGAGACTAACAGACAGTCTGTATTCTCTTCACACTCTGTGGGTCGGCCTGTCTGTTTTTTTGCTGTTTAATAGTTGTGGTATTTAAAGATAAAATGGGCTGTTGTGCTAGTGCTAGGTAACAGTGGCCCAACAGAGATCTCACACCTGTTGATAGGGAGTAGCAGCCACTGTGGTGGGCAGAGGAAGGCTCTGCTGACAGCTTGTCCAGACTGGTGTGGTGTGGTAGGAAGAGCATGGGATTTAGGATCAGATGCCTTGAGTTCAAAGCCCAGCTGTGCCCTCAGTGTGGACTGGTTTGGTCATGAGCCTTTGTGGGCCTCAGTTGTCTGACACAGGAGATTGTGATAAAGCGCTTAGCACGGTGTGTGAGCCACTGCTGCCCATGGTAGCTCTAGGTGTCTCCAGCAGGAATGCTGGCGGAAAATTTCATTGCTGTCTACATTTTTAAAAAGTCTTTTGTCGCGAGCCGCTTGCCAGCAAGAAAGCACGCAACACTCAGGATCCTTCTGAAGCTTCTTTATTATCTTGGGAGAAGGTCTAAAGCTTTTACAAAAAACCTTCCTTTATATATCCTGCTAACTATATTAACTCGACAGAAACAAGAAGTTACAAGATCACGACTATAGCACATTCCGATCACTATCAGGGGAACAAACTTCAGGCAGGGAGCAACCATAAAAGCAATGTCGCCATCCCAGAACAAACATCTTGATCAAGGATGACTTAAACAAAGAACTTCTGCAAATAAGCCACAATCCCAACACAGCTCAGCAAACAGGAGACTGAAATTCCTCACGATGACTTGGCAGCCTGCAGTGTCTGCAGACCAAAGCACTCCACA